AGGAGGTGGCTGTGGGGAGGGGGCGGAGGGCTCTGATGTGAAGAGGGGGCTGAGGACTCTGATGTGAAGAGGGGGCTGAGGACTCTGATGTGAAGAGGGGGCTGAGGACTCTGATGTGAAGAGGGGGCTGAGGACTCTGATGTGAAGAGGGGGCTGAGGACTCTGATGTGAAGAGGGGGCTGAGGACTCTGATGTGAAGAGGGGGCTGAGGACTCTGATGTGAAGAGGGGGCTGAGGACTCTGATGTGAAGAGGGGGCTGAGGACTCTGATGTGAAGAGGGGGCTGAGGACTCTGATGTGAAGAGGGGGCTGAGGACTCTGATGTGAAGAGGGGGCTGAGGACTCTGATGTGAAGAGGGGGCTGAGGACTCTGATGTGAAGAGGGGGCTGAGGACTCTGATGTGAAGAGGGGGCTGAGGACTCTGATGTGAAGAGGGGGCTGAGGACTCTGATGTGAAGAGGGGGCTGAGGACTCTGATGTGAAGAGGGGGCTGAGGACTCTGATGTGAAGAGGGGGCTGAGGACTCTGATGTGAAGAGGGGGCTGAGGACTCTGATGTGAAGAGGGGGCTGAGGACTCTGATGTGAAGAGGGGGCTGAGGACTCTGATGTGAAGAGGGGGCTGAGGACTCTGATGTGAAGAGGGGGCTGAGGACTCTGATGTGAAGAGGGGGCTGAGGACTCTGATGTGAAGAGGGGGCTGAGGACTCTGATGTGAAGAGGGGGCTGAGGACTCTGATGTGAAGAGGGGGCTGAGGACTCTGATGTGAAGAGGGGGCTGAGGACTCTGATGTGAAGAGGGGGCTGAGGACTCTGATGTGAAGAGGGGGCTGAGGACTCTGATGTGAAGAGGGGGCTGAGGACTCTGATGTGAAGAGGGGGCTGAGGACTCTGATGTGAAGAGGGGGCTGAGGACTCTGATGTGAAGAGTGGGCTGAGGACTCTGATGTGAAGAGTGGGCTGAGGACTCTGATGTGAAGAGGGGGCTGAGGACTCTGATGTGAAGAGGGGGCTGAGGGCTCTGATGTGAAGAGGGGGCTGAGGACTCTGATGTGAAGAGGGGGCTGAGGACTCTGATGTGAAGAGGGGGCTGAGGACTTATAATGTCATGAGCACCCCACCCTTTTTGTGTTTTTGCACTGGGTCCCGCCTTAAAACCCATACGAGACCACTATCTAATTGTTTGTGTTTTTTTTTTAATTTGTGCTTTCTACTTTTTAGACCAAAGTGCCTCGAGGTTCTGCATACTTTTAAAGGGATCCATTTCTTTAAAAAGGTTGAGAAACATTGCCTTAGGTTATGTTAGTGTGAACTAACTAAAATGACTCCACAGCTTTCCCAAAGTCTGTATGGCTTTCGCTGAAATGAAGGAAAGGTGCCAGCATTGTCCCTTTTAATGATCTCCACACCCTCCACATTAAATAACACTTAATAACATTTTGACATATTTGATGGCACAGATCCCAGACTGCAGAGAACAGCGATAAGTTACATTTTATAAGTAGGGCAGTTGGTGAAATAGTGGTCAGGACAATCAACTCGAACTGGATCCCTGACAATCTGATAATCCCTGTTCTGCTGATACCGAGAAGAACCGGCTCAGCCCTTTCAAGCTAAAGACTGATGTTGGAGTTTTGCTGAGTGCGTGGAATGCCCTCCATATCTTGCTTGCTACGTCTATCGCGCCCGTTCAGTACACAGTCTAATCTGTCAGAAGATGTAAGCAGCAGCTCATTCATTGCTGCACTTTAAAATGAATTATGAAGCAGATTAGAAAACGGAAGAAGGGGAAACGTGTATTTATTGCATGCGTGCTTGGTGTGCGTAAAGAAACACTCTGGGTGATAAATCAAATGAATCACAAATATACCTAAATCGGACTTTAATTAGATCTAATGCAGTCAGATTTAGGAGTTTTTTAAAAGTAGAACTCCGGGTAAAAAGGTTATTAACCCTTTGCACTGCGAGGGTTAAGTGCTTGTTTTTGCCTAGGGCCAAAAATAACTAAGTTATACTCACCTGATCCTCGGAGCCGGCCGGTTTTCTCCTGCCTGTCACCTCCTCGGCTGCAGCGATGTTATGTCCCTCGGCGTCCTCAAATTCTATACACTGTGGGGGGAATTTATTAACGCAATTGCGACTGTTTTATCCTATTTTTTATGGGCAAATATGTTTAGCAGCTCCTGTTAAGCCCATGTGCGCCTGTTTTGCCCTGAGCGTGCGCTATTTTCTTGATTGCGAGTGTTTTGCGACAGTTCGCAACTGATTATATCTGCCATTGTCCTGAGGCTGTCTGAAACCGGCGCACCGCCAAACAAAACAATCGCAATTTAAGAAGAAGTCCCCATGACCACTTTTTCAAGAAGGGACAGTTTAGCTTTTTGCCTGGAGTTACAAGTCTTCTTTCCTGGAGTCCATTTAAAGGAGAACTATGAGGCGAGTGCTTTTCACTCACCTCATAGTTCTAGCCGACCTGTGACAATGAGACTGTCACAGGTCGGCTCAGTAGATTGGGAAGTGAGCGAACATATACCGTCGTTTGCTCACCTCTCGATCCTGTCACAGCTCTCTGCCGTGACAGGGGAGGGGCTGGATTCCACCTCCCCGCTCCGATCCGCCAGCGCTTACCCCAAGAAGAACTATGGGGAAAAGCCCTGACCCCATAGTTCTCCTTTAATCTAATTTATAAACAACATTACACTAGCAACATAAATCTTGAGCAAAGCGCGTCAAATTGATCCCATGCAAGTTCAAACAGTCGCAATTGCGTTAATTAATTCCTCCCTGTGTAGGGGCTAACTTTGTTATTTTTGACCCTAGGCAAAAATAAGTACTTAACCTTTGCAGTGCGGGGGTAGCCCCAGCAAAAGGGTTTAGAACATTTTTACCCCAGAGTTCTTTTGTAATACTTCATGGTAGAACTGCATCCTCCTATCATATGATTCTCTTCTCTGTAACCTATCTTTGAACTATAGAGGAATCTTAGCTTTGTAAGTATGCCTATGAAGGTTCTCATTCATCCAGGTCATGGTATATCTGTAAAAAAATAAGTCAAGGCAACTGGACTTTCTGTATTTTTCTTGAAGGCGTTTCACTGAACATCCAACCAGCTTTCTCAATCGGGAATGACTTGTACAAAAATTATCTGGGAATAAATATGGTGAATGTTGCTCCAATGCATTTGCACAACTGAAGCTAGGAGGTGTCATTAACCTGCCAGGTGTTAAAGGTGGCAGGTTAACCTGAGAGGTGTTAAAACAGCATTGTGTGTGGCAGAAAATAGAAGTCTCAAGCACCCCCCTCCCATTCAAGCTTGGCTTCTCCATTTTTACATACAAGGCCTCTTTCACAGCTCTTTTAAACCAGTCCTTATCCCTGTCTAGGATGCGTACTTAAAGTGACATTAAATTATACATTTGTTTTCCCTCCCCCCAATGTTAATGTCAGCACTTACCTTAAATGATGTCTCTTAATCCGATCTTCTTCTTTCCTGATGTTTTCATCTGTCCCTCCAGCAGTGCGTCGGCTCTCCAATCCAGCGCTGACTCCTCTCTGCTTGCAGGCACTTCTGATCCCACGGTGTCTGCATGCGGGTGCACGCGTCCATAGACTTACCTTGCGTCTCAGCTCGTCTCCTGGCCGAGAAACCGAACTGCGCATGAGCCCACCCCAAGATGCTTTGCGGCTGCCCGAACTGTTTCGTTTTCTTGGGTGAGAGTGCGCAGCGAATATAAGGTAAGTTTAAACCGCTGTTAAAGCGTTTAAAAAAAAAAAACTGTTTGCCTATATCTACTGCTTGATAGAAGTAGATATAGGCAAAAAAACGGGAGGGTTTAGAACCCCTTTAACTGTCTTCAAAGGAGGGACCTTTTTCCTTTAGATGTAGGTATACTGCTGAATCCTGACCAGAGGGTTTGGAGGTAAGACAACTGTAAGATAATTCAAATGTAAAACATGGACTCTACGTGTTGTTGATACCTTGATAAGCGGCCTCCAGATCAAATCAATGTGCTTGAAAGTATCAGGTACACCAAGTGGAAGCTCCAGCTGCTTCATGTCCATTTTTTTCTCGGCCATGGTCTGAGCCTGCGGCTTGTGTGATCGGATATCCCAGAACATGACTGAGCTGTAGGAGAAGATCATTCTATAAGTAGCGGTGCCTAGATGTGCTTACAGCAAACAAATAAAACCAGTATAAGGGGAATTTTCATCAGCATTGTGTATTATGCCCGAAATAACACTTACCTCTCTGTGCCCCAACAGCGTACACCTCACTCTATATTGTAGGAATGGCTACTGTATAAGGGAGCATACAGGCTACTCATCAGGGTCACAGAATGGGCGGAGGGGTCAGAAGAGGCAGACAGTTTGAGCTCATCAGCAGTAGGGGGTGCAAAATGCACAGTACCTGCAACCTATACTGATAAGTAGTTCATGGTTTATGGTGGTGGGTGCACTTTGTTTTTTCGCCTTGGATGCTAGAGGACCTTGTGCCAGCACTGCTCAGGACTACATCTCCCGTGATGTAATGCTTTCTTTTCCAGGATTCTAGCAGCAGGTTATGTGCTATTAAAATGACAGCTCTGCTCAATACAGACACTGAGGAGCCACTGCTTTAAAGCTGGCCATACACTGCCCGAGTCCTACGTGGCCCTGTGGACACCACTCCGTTCAACAGAAGTCAAAGTTTCAATTGACTTTTGTTAAAGGAATGGTTTGAAAATTCTCAGCTGAACAGCGACTGCAGCCAATAAGCTGAAGTGAAGTGCCTCCATTGGAAGATTTCCCCTTACCTCCTATTCCAGTGACAACAGTAACATTTTGGGCATGTGTAGGGGAAAAGAGGCGCTAGATCCTTGCTGCTTTAGGAGACTCACATTTTAAATGAATCTGTTCTTCGGGTTGCTCAGGATGTTTTTGAAGAGGCTTCTTCCATATAAACAGGGACACCCCAAGCCAGACTGGGGGGGGGGCTCTTAGGTAGATTCAAATGGAAAAAGGACAGACGGGGCAGCCACCACAATTCGGGCGTTCACACAATCCCCTTTCATCAGGGCTTGAGTAAACTGAAACTTCCTTTCAGGATGTATGGACTCACATTAAAATGAATGGTGATCTGCAGGTACCAGTGTCTGCATTTAGTAAAGATTTCGCAAAGAAACAGTACAATCTCTTCTTTACTGCAAAATCTTCACTAAATGCAGGCACTGGTACCTGCTGATCACCATTCATTTTAATGTGAGTCCATACATCCTGAAAGGAAGTTTCAGTTTACTCAAGCCCTGATGACAGGGGCTTGTATGAACCCCTGAAACGCGTTGGCTGTTTCACTAAACTGACATTTTCAAATAAACGATTGTTTTGGACTCAAATTGTGGTGGCGCCCACGCCTGTGCTTTTTCCTTTTAAACAGTAACATTTTAGGCTTTTTCATCCCTCTGTCCCAGTCACATTGGTCACCAGGACAAATAGAGAGGGCAAATCTCCCCAACAGGGACACAGACAGAAAATAAAAATTTGACAGAAGTTCTAATGCTCTTTCTACTTTATCCAATAAAAGTTTTGAATATAAATCTACCCTTAAAGGTCACAGATTTTGTGAAAACACTGCGCAAAAAAAGCACAATGAGAAATCTGTTCTAAGGCCAGGTTCACGCCATTTACTGGACCAGATCTGGAACACGCTGCATTGCGCTTTGCCACGTTTTTACCACTTTCCGGAGCTGTTTTTCCCCCTGTTAACTTAAAATTGGCCTTTCAAGTGCGGTCCAGTGCGTCTGCATGCGTTTGTATGCAGTTTGTATGCATCTCCATGAGTTCCACTGAATCCAGACCAGACAAAATAAGACATGCAGTATTTTTTTGGTCTGGTCTGGAACGGACTGCGCTGGTGGGAACAGAGGCCAGAAATAGCATAGGGATACATTGTGATGCATTTTAGGTCTAGAAACAATCTGGTCTGGTCTGGAGATGATCTGGATGTGGTGTGAACAGGCCCTTAAGGAAAACGTGGCTTATTGTTTTCATAATAATATAAATGACTTATAATAATAAGCTGTTAAGATGACAAAATAAAAACAACACGTTTGCTTGTTTTTTGTTACAATGGGAAAAAAGCCAATATTGTCGATAAAAGATACAACTGCAACATGACACGAGGTGACGAGGGAGCATGGAGCCGGTTTCCGGCCAATCAGGAAGCTGGGCAGCGTGTAATGGCTCGCTGCCCGGCTTCCTGATACCTGAAGTATCGGGCTAGGCATTGGAGCATTTAGGCGAGTACTAGTACTCCCCCAAATACCCGGCATTGGCACCAATACTAGTATCGGTATCGGTGCATCTCTAGTTCAAATCCCTTTCCACTCTATACAAAACAAAAAATTGGCTGATGCACGATCATAATACGCCTCCCTTTCAAAATCTATTCTGTCCAAACTTTACCCTTAGAAGCTCTCTGTGTATTTCTTAATTAAATTCAATTACCTGTCTGGAGAACAGGTGACGAGCTGTACACAGCATCCACTTTTATTTTCATATGGATATCCTGCGCGGGTGATCTATAAAAGAAGAGAACACAATTACTTTACATGAGAAAGGCATACCTGCTACCTGATGATTGATAATCCCAGCCTATTGTGTGCCTTTCTGCTGTTTTATGTTACATAGCCCTCAGGGGCAGGGCCCTCCTTACCATCTTGTCTTGAATTGTATTGCGATTGAAATGTCTGCCCTATAGTGTAAAGCGCTGCGCAAACTGTTGGCGCTATATAAACCCTGTATAATAATAATAATAATAATATATGTAAAACAATACAGAGAAAAGTATAAAGCCTGAAGAAGGGATCTAAGTTAGTGACTATCACTTCTAAGTTATTGACTAAGACTTAAACTTCAAACTTGTTGCATATTAAAAACAAACATTATATAAAAAGGGATATGAACTATTGGGTCCTTAGCATACCCCGGCCTTCTTCTGGTCTAGGCCCCCGCAGCACTTTTATAATTTGGCTGAACAACTGATGAGGTAACAATGCTTTTGCTACTCTCCTTGGGGCATATCAGAACAGCATACCCTTCTCTATGCACTGGTGCTTGAACTAGTAAAGGTGCCAAGAGAAACAGCCCAGATGTAATAGCACTACACCCCTTAGTGGCTGGAATTAGCGTCTGGACTAATGAGGATCCTGGAATCCCCCTTTGCTACCACACTGGGGACAGGGAAGGAAAAGGGATCACAAGTCATTACACTTGAGTTACCAGTTTGCTTGATAGCAGGACCCACTTCTCAAACTTATCTTTCCTATGCTGCCTCTCCACCACTGCAGCAGCCTAATCAAAACTGGACCAGGGGAATGTGCATCCCAATGAGTTGGTGCTTTAGCCTGGTGATTGGCTGCTCAGACACCAATCTCTGTACTGTGGGAGGCAGGAAGGGTGCGTTATGTGTTCCCTATACCTGAAAGTATCAGGTTTTTGTTGAGCTGGGAGATGGATCGGGGCAGTGTGACAGTGTAGGGAAGTCAAATATTGTGTTACTTAGCCTAGTCCAGGCAAGAGTTAGTTTCAGAGTCACTTTAACCCTATCGGAAATCTTAACGTCAGAGGTGCTTCATGGGCTTCTGATCATGTGATCACTATGGTTGGCGGTCACAGTGACCATGTGATTGGGAGCCCATACTACTGGCTGCCGATCATTTCTGTGTGGCCAGGAGCAGTTGGTGACAGTAATGTAACAGTGTTGGGGAGCCGCAACTGAGTGTGCTCCCAACACAAAGCAACAACACATATATGTGGCAGCATGGAATAAGGCTCAACTTTGTGTTGCCCAATATATGCGTACAGCCAATGGGAAGTGGTTAATAAGTAATCTGAAAGCCTAAAACCAATATGGGGGTAACTGTTCCCTATCCAAGCCTTTACCTCAAAGAAATCTGGGAGCCAGTGTATGTCAGTTATCACAGCCTTGTGCCCATGTTCTATAGAGGATACCGCACAGTATCTCACAAAATGTGGCTCATTGGATTGCTTGGGCTCCAGTGTTGTCTGTAAGCAGAAAAAGGACATCTTAGTGCATTCACGATTATAAACATATATCTGTCACCATTTGTCAGACTATATCCGGCTGGAACGCACAATCTAATGAAAATATTACATTCGTTTTCCTAACAGTCATAGCTAACTAAAATACAGATTGTCCTTTCTTACATATTCTATCCAAAGCATGCTTGTCATAAATTCCAACAGCTGTTCATTTTGCTCAAAATTCAGGAAACTGTTTACATTTACACCAGCATTCCCCGCTTGACTTTTGCAAATCTCCTCCACAAGATCAAATGAAGAATCATGATCATAAAAACATAATGGAATACTTCTGTGGTATGTAAACCAATCGGTAAGAGAGGGTATGATAGATCTGTATGGTTAGTCTGCAATACCAGATTTCACCAGGATGTGTTGCTGTAAGCAATTACAATATCAGCTCCTGATCCCAGTGAAAAGGTCAAAATAGATGGGTAAAAAAAAAAAATAGAACTTTGATTTCATTGGGACTCATAGTAATAAGATTATTATGTAAATGTTAGTTAGCTGACAGTAAGAATTTTACAATGCAATACAAAACATACCTTTGTGTTGGTGCTCGTGGTTACTCCAGTTTTCTCTGCGAGACGCTCGTTATAAGCAGAGATATCCCATAATACAACCTGAGTTAAGGACAGAAGAAATAGGAACTTAGCCATACAAGGCAATGCATTCATATGAGAAATCTGCATCATTGCTGTCCTACCTAGCAGTCTGGCTGACCCGTTGGCTTCTATAATTTCTAAGTCACCTATCTGCATACTTGTTTTGGACCAGGGACTTAAAATATTAAAGAAAAACAGCCCAGCAATCAGCATTTTCAGGAGTGGGAGCTTCTCTAGTTCAATTTTTATAATTGTAAGGACACAAAATATTTGATAAAGAACACTGCAAACCTCCAACAGGAGAACATTCCCCTTGAACACTGGTTAACATAGAAGAAGGCTTTGAAAGGTCTGATAGATAAAAGGGGTGAATGGGTATCAGACATTAAAGTTGAACTCTGAGGAAATGAGAAACTACCCTTGCAGTGGGGCTCCCTCCACACTTCAAGGGTTAAATGTTAAATGTTGAATATTGTCTAGGGTACCATTAAAAAGCAGTTTTACTTACCTTATCCGTCACCCGCTCCTGCAGGCTTCTCCTCTTTATGAAACTGGTCTCCCAAAGTCTTTTCCATTCAGAGCTCAGTCCTTTGGTCACACTCCAATGTCATCGCATACAATGCAGGACCAACAGTTCTGCATTGTAAGTGAGGATGCTTTGGGCTTGTCCACAGCCCGTAGCGTCAGGCAATAGAAAAGTGCCGGCTGCCATGGGAAAGCGGGATAAGATAAGTAAAAGTTATTTTTAATGGTGCACTAGGCAACCCTTGCAGTAGGACTCCCCACACACTGCAAGGGTAGTTTTTAATTTCCTTGGAGATCGGCTGTAATTTTCTATTGGTGGCTTGGTTAGGTTATCCACAGAGAGATATAGAAACACCAGCCAGATATCTTTATGTAATATAAAAAAGGGTAGGCAACCTTGGCACTTCAGCTGTTGTGGAACTACAAATCCCATAAGGCACTGCAACACTCTGACAGCCACAGGCATGACTCTCAAAAGCATAACGGGATTTGCAGTTTCACCACAGCTAGAGTGCCGAAATCGCCTACCAATAAGATTTGGTTTAGTATGTAGACTCTAAACCAAGACCAGATCGGCAGACGGGGCCATCAAATCTAGAGCATATCTCCATCCACCAAAGGTAGGTATTTAGGATTTAAAGGTTTGACTTGGAATATGTGAACAAGCATTAGGTATCATTGCATTAGAACTATATAGGCTGAAATTAGAGTGTTTATTGAACATTAAGATGTGAAGGACCAAACTGCTTTCATTTGTCCTGTAAATTAGTAGAAGATAGTTCCTGTGTTTATTTTACAATGTATAGAAATTGTATGGTAGGCTACAATTCATGGCTAAGTACAGAGCAGAAATCAGCCCATGGGTGGTGGAAGTATTTTAATTTATGGGACTTATCAATGTTAGCTGACCAAAGATCTGACCACTGCGCCCCAACCACTGGCCCCCCAGGCTTGCTTATCAGCTCTCAGACAGCTATGCTTGGTTCAGTACTAGTGCTCCACTACACAGACCCATATGAAACTTGTCCCAGGGCACAGCACAGGATAAAGAAGGACATTTTGCTGCACTCCTTACCGGATATTCCCAGTGATAGGGAGGGTGCTTGTAATGACCGAATTAAGAATATCACCAGCACACCGAAAAAATCCTTTCAGGATCACCAAATGTTCATTTTATTGAACAAATCGTCAAAAGTGAAGACAAGCGCTTTCCGGGCCACGCTGGGTCCCTTCATCAGTCTCAAAAATCTAAGGACACTGCACAGACCACACAAAACATTATACGAATAGGATCCAGTACCTGGCCATTTATACACCCTCCAGCGATGATACTGGGGTCACTCGGACAAAAACGGAAGCAATAGATGTCATCTGGACATTCCAGCATCAGCTAAAGGAGAGAACAGAAGAAGCTTTTAGATTTCACACTTTTACATGTTTACCGAGTGAAGATATATCATTAGAAGTGTTGGAACAAATGGCTTTATTTAAATGATATTAAAAAGAGCATTTCTGATATGCCAAGTACAGTAATCCATAGCCACCAATATAGCCATAGCCATCCATAGCCACCAATCAGTTTTCAGCATATTAGATTATCAGTGAAGAATGAAATATAATAGCTGGTAGAATTAATCTTTTGCCCAGGGGTCACTGAAGCCTGGTTGCACAGAAAAAGTTTAGCAGCATCAGTATGCCTCGGTTAAAAGTGCATCTGAAGCCATTTTTTTTCCATTTTGGATAGAGCAGAGAATGGTTAAAACTCTTTTTTTAACCATCTGTTAAAAATGTTTGCCATCTGTTTTAAAACTTTCTTTCACTTCCTGTAGACAGACAGGAAGTGAGAGAAAATCTATCCAAAGAAAGGTAAATCTCCTCTTAGATGCTTATCACCGGAACAATTGGCCCCATTGGAATATTTCCCCATATTCATGTTCTGGTGGCAATTCAGAATTTTAGATTTTTCCTCAAGTTCAGTTCCAGTGACAGTGGTCACCAGGACAAAATAAAGACAGCAAATCTCACTAGCGGGGACACTAACAGCATTAAAACCTTGGAAGAAGGAAGCCGCCGCTCCAAGTGCACAATATGCCTGTATCCATGGAACCAGGTACCAAACAAAAATGGCTCTTTGCACAGCAACAAATCAGGATTCATCTACCACGATGTGATTTCTGTTATCTGAAATCTGATTGGCTCTTATTACTGGACTTTGCACATCATCAGCGTTCTTTCGCATTCTGTCAATGAACAGTCCTACCAGCCTGATAAGAAGAGCACTGGATTCACTCCATTAAAGAATAGATTCAAAGGGAAGTTTATGAAAAGCTTATCTTTATTAACAGATCCCTCACCTGGAGAAAGGAGATCTCCGACTTTCCAATCTTACCTGGGGATGAATAGGGTCAGTCACACTCCAAATAAGAATCAATGATGGCTTAAGGATGAGTTTGGAAGATAAGTTCACTCGATCCTCCAGGGAAAGTGGTTCAGTTAATGAAACTGCCACTAAGCCTGGCAAATAAAACACACACATCTGTCTCAATGGGGAACAAGATTTTTTTGAATGCAAATTGCACATTAATTAACAAAGCACTGCTTTTAGGAGTCTCCTATTCCCTCTAATTGCATACAGGTAATACATTTGTCCCCTGTGATATAAAATGCAACAGATTAGCAACTGCATTCATTAAGACGGTATTGATGAATGCCTTCCAATATCTTTAGAGTTCATGCATGTAACAGTCTTTGGAGGACATTTATCAATACTGTTTAAATAAAGTATTTATTATTTTTTATTTATTACAGGTATTTATATAGCGCCGACAATTTACGCAGACTTTACATACTGCACATTCACATCAGTCCCTGCCCTCAAGGAGCTTACAATCTAAGGTCCCTATCTCACATGCATACATACAATAACTGTGCTTGCTAATTTGTTGCATCCTGTATTTTAAATTGCAAGTTAAAACAGATTTATTATCTGTATGCAAGTTGCATAATAAATCAGATTTCTGTTCAAAAAAGGGTTGTTGCAGACTATAAAAACACCAAACATACTGTAACAGGGTGCCAGTAAAACCTGCCAGGTTGGCAGAAAAAGTGATAGATGGTAGATACATTCCTTAACGGATCCTTAGATTCATCATCTAAGGTAATGCCAGCATAGATTTGTAGGTAAAGAAAAATAGCTCTTTACCTTGTATTGGTAAAACAAATCCTGGGGCTGGTGTTACTAGGAGTCTGATAGAGCTCCGGGTGGGACAGACTCCTAGTTCCATGGGCCGTAGTTTAGTGAAGACTGCACAGGACTTCATTAGTGTGCAGCTGCACCTAGCTGGGGGAAGTGTGTGTCTCAGTGCAAGGAGAGACAGTGTGTTCTGTGTTTGGAGCCAAGCCTGTCAACAGGACAGGGTTCTGTGGATGGACTGTAACTGTTCCCATATAGGAAACGGACCCAGCTCAGAGGACTATCACTAATACCCAGTAAGGCTCAGTGGAGCGGACTTTTATTTGTTTATGTCAATTACATTTTTGGCTGGATGCCTGTAACCTTTTTTTGTCGATTTGATTGCTGTCTGGAATTAAAGCTGGCATGTTTGGTTGACGAGACTGCGAGTTTGCATCTACATTGAGACTAGTTCCCTACAATACTTATATAATAACTAGGGATGCACCTATACCGAGTATTTGGGCGAATACTCGTACCCACCCAAATGCTCCCGATGCCTATCCTGATAACGGAACTTCCAGTATTAGGAAGGCGGGCGGCGGGTCATTACATGTCACCAGGGAGCATGGAGCCAGCTTCCCGGTCAATCAGGAAGCCGGCCGGCATGTAATGATTTGCCACCCAGCTTCCTGCTTGGTCAGAAAGCTGGCCAATCAGGAAGCTGGGCGGCAAATCATTACCTGCCCCCCTGGCTTCCTGATTGGCCAGAAATCCGGCTGTTCAGGCACTTCTTCATATGGGGTGACAACACTCTACTCCTGTCTAACAGTTGTGCTCTCGCATTGTCACCTGGTCACACAGGATGGAGACTACAAGTGGCCGCTTCAACACACAATAAACAGGCATGGCCCACGATTCTCGCCATCAGAAAACCCACCCCAAGAAACTGCTCCGATTCAGACTTTAATTTATGTAGATTTGGATGGTTATTAGAAATACTATGATTGAAACCCCCCCCCCCCCCTATGTTATGAAGTTTACCACTGACTGACATTACTGGCAGCGATTCCATTCATTACCATTAAGTGTGGGGTGCCAGTCTATGCAGCTGATGGTTTTGTCTTTGCCAAACTGGTGGTCTGTAAAAGACTGATACTCCTTCAGGTGAGAGTCGGATCTTGCACCAAATGTGCTCTCCTTATCAGACAAGGCCTTCCAGTCATCTACAAAGGCGTTCAGAATTTCATTTTGCTGTAGCGCTAATTCCAGCCTATTTAAAAGAAGGAGTTCAATGGCTTCATACAATAGCAAAGTGATCAGAAACTGTTCACAGGATATTTGATATAAACTTTTATCAAGCTGTCTATGCAACCAGGCAAATTAAAGACCACCTATCAGTGAAGTATAAAATACCAAAAAAACATGAAGATGTATAAAGCACACCTGCCATTTAGAGTTCAAATCACACCCTGTCCGTTATGCTGCACTGAACTGCGCAGATCAATGCAGACTCAACTCAAGGGCACATAGAAAACAATTGTTTTCTATGTGCCCTGTTCATATCATCATGCACTTATTTGGGTATCGAGCATCGATATTTTTTTTTTCCAGTACTCGCAGGTACCAAAACCGGAAGTCCCATTAAGGAAGCCAAGCAGCGCGTAATGGCTCGCCACCTGGCTGCCCGATTAGCCGGGAAGGCGGGCGGCATGTAAAGACACACCACCCGGCTTAGCGATTAGCAGGGAAGCCGTGTTCATGCTCTCTCGTCACAAGGTGACCAGGAGGCAGGGAGCAGGCTTTCTGGCCAATCAGAAAGCTTGGCGCCGTGTAATGACTCATTGCCTGGCTTCTTGATTGGCGGGAAGCCGGCTCCATGCTCCCTCGTCACCAGGTGGGGGGGCAGGTAATGACTCGCCATACGGCTTCCTGATTGGCCAGCTTCCTGACCAATCAGGAAGCTGGGCGCCAAGTCATTACACACTGCTCAGCTTCCTGATTGGCAAGGGAAGCCTGCTCCATGCTCCCTCGTCACAAGTAGTGATGGGCTCGGGCGTGTTCGCAGCTCCACGTGCCGAGCCCGCCAGGAAGCTGAGACATGTTCCCGTTCCGCAGCTGCAGAGATCGGGAAATGTCTCAGTGCCTGTGATTGGCACTGCGCGCTGTCAAATCCTGGC